GTGTCCCCAGTGGTCAGGGGTCAACACTTAGGTCAGAGGTCCAGCATTGCCACAAAGCATCTTCCCATTTGTGCTTAGCTCATCCAAATGCCATCAGACCCTGAGGCGTCTAGCACTGGCCACATGCAGTCTGCCTGCCACTTCACACCTGACTCTGGGACCCTGAAGTGACCTCCTAACTGGTCTCCCAGCCTCTGGCCTATCCACTTGGCTTCTCACTAATTGATGTTTCTTATTGACTGTTAGCAGCTCCTGAGATCCTCAAACCTGAGGACTGGGCAGGGAGCAGAGAGCTCTGTCCCTGTTGGGCCATCATCTAATTTCCAAGTCCTATGCCTAGTGTCTTCCCTCAGTCTCTGAGACTTGGCTTCCTGGTTTCAGTGGTTCAGAGACCCTAGCTTCTTCCCTGAGATGGAGCAATATGCCCAAAGTCACACGGGCCTTGGAGGCCCAGCCACAGCTGGAAAGCAGCTGGCCAGGCCCTTTCCCTCCACATTTCCTGTTCCAGCCCCTCAACCCTGCCCCATCACCTCCACCCAGCCCAGCCCAATCCTCACGCTCCCTGTCTAACTTTCCATGAGTTTCTTTAAAAAAAGAAAAATGCACTGTAGAGGCCACTAGAAGGAAAAAGGATACAGCCACTCTGAGGCCAGTGCCTTTCAGCTGACTCACCCACTTCTGTGGCACTTGGGTTCCGGCATCCAGCGTGGGGTATGGGTGAGGGTGAGGCCCCAAACCCAAGGCTTCTTGAGAATGTACCAAGACTAGAACCGGGTGAGGCCTAGGAGGGGCCTGCTCCTCAAGGCTGGAGCAGAGCACCAAAGATGCAGCCCAGTCCAGCTGGGTGGCCTTGCCTGAGAGAAGGCAGAATCTCAGGGGAGAGGTGGAGGTTTCAGGGAGAGAAAATCATTGGATTCTCACAACACTTCTAGAGCCCAGGCTGGTGAGAGTTTGGAGGGAGGGTCCCACTTAGGATTTGGGCCAGTCCGATTTAGGGTCTGGGCCTCTTCTGACACTTCTTTTCACCCCCTTTTTCCCCACCCCTTTCTCACATATTCTCCTTGAGGCAGCAACTGGGCAGGGATGCCTGAGTGCAGCCTGCAGCTGAGCCCCTAACTGAGCTGAGGGCTCCCCAAAGGCTAGGTGACAGGGGGGTAAGATGGGCAGAGAGACCAGGCTGTGGTTCAAGAATAGGCTAGAACTAGGGGACCAGGGTCCACAGGACCTAAGGGGACAATGTTTCTAAGTTGGGGTTAATGGGAAGCCATGGGGTTTAGTTCTTATGGGCCTGGCCCTTTGAGGGCCTCTGTCCATCTGCAACTAAAAGGAGGGGAGGGGAATGAGTCCAGCAGCCCCTTTGCTCAACCTTCCCCTGCCCAGAGACCCAAGGGACCTGTCTTTCCTACTTTGACCCAGATTGAGATGGGGGATTGATTTCCACCATTGTTTCTATAACCCTCAGGGTGATCCCACCTGAGGCCTTCTGGTGTGTTGATTTCCTAATGAGATAAGTGGCACTACGGTTCTCCTCCCCTAGGACTCATGCAAGACCGACTGACTGGTCAGCTCTGCTTTCTCTGCCTTATGGCCCCACTGCCAGTGGGCCTGCCCCTGCCCCTCAGCCATACCTCCCAGGCATCCCTTCATGACACAAACATCTCCTGTGTGCCAACTGTGTGCCAGGCCCTGTTCTAGGCACTGGGGCAGCTGCAGTGAACAAGTAGACAAAAATCCTTGCCTCAAGGAACTTAAATTCCTGGAGAGGGATAAACAGTGAGCCACAGATCAGAAAAAGACATAGTGTGCCAGAGGAAGAGGTGTGTAAGAGAAAAATAAAGCAGGGAAGCAGGGAGGGGGCAATGCATGTGTGCTCAAGCACCTGGGTCTGTAACTACAGCAAACATGGGAAGGAGGGGAGAGAGCTGCGAGCACATCCAGAGGCAGACGCAGGTGCAGAGGCAGTGAGGAGGCCAGTGTGGCTACAGCTGAATGGGGCAGGGGAGGGCACAGAGGCTGGACGCCAAGCAGAGGAATGATCTGCCTGGCCCCCTCCAGCTGCTATACTGGGCGTGGGTTGTGGGGGCTACTGCAGTCCTCCAGGTGGGAAGATGGGGCAGCAGCCAAGAAGGTGGAGAGGAGTGGTCAGATTCTGGAAGGGGGTGTGGCCACAGGACTTGCTACTGGGCCCCTATGAGGAGCAAGGAGAGGGGAAGAATTAAGGATGCCTTTTGTCCTGAGTGACTGAAAGATGGGGAAGCCTTTGGGAGAATCGGGCACCCAGGGAAAGAGTAGCAGCTTTTGGTTTTGTACAGGAGGTGCCAATTTTGTACTGACTAGCCAAGTCCAAATTCTAGTCTGGAAAGAGAGAGAGAGATACAACATAGAGATGTAATTTTTAGTCATCAACATAAAATACTCAGATGTTTTGATACTGCTTGGGATCCCCTGGGGAGCAAGGGCAGAAAGAAAAACTAAGGGAAGGTGGTGGCCTGGATGCTAGGAGAAGCTGCTCCTAGGGGGAGGGGGCAAGGGACAATCGTACAAAATGCTATTGAGAGTCCAGCAAGTTGAGGACTAAAATTCAGCCCCGGATTTGGCAACCTGGAGGCTACTGGTGTTCTAGGTGGGAGCATTTTAAAGCCAGTTAAGAAAGAATAGGAGGAGAGGAGTTGGAGAACATGAGTGTAGATTCTAAGGAGTTTTGTTATATGTGGAGTAAAGAACAGGCCAGAAGCCAGAGGGATGTGGGCCAAGAGTATTTTGTTGTTGTTCAGATGGGAGAGATCTGGCATGTTTCTATGCTGATGGGAATAACCCAGTAGAGAGGGCAATGTGATGATGCAAGCGAGAGGAAGGAAAAGAGCTTGGAGAGACCTCTCCAGCCCCTCCTCATCTCCAAGCCAATAAAAGAAGTTGTCCTCTTTGAGGCAGGGGCTCTGGAAATGACCCCAGGCTGGGCACTGAACACCTGGGTCCTGATCCTAAATCTGCCTCTTACTGACTACAAGAGTCTGTGCCAGCCCCTAATACCCAGGGCTTCAGATGTGGAAAGTGATTCCTACAGCACCAGTGCTGCCTCCCTCCCAGGTTGTGGTGGAGATCCAGTGAGGCAATAGGTGTAAAAGGCTTTGTCAACCGTAACAAGTGGAACAAATGGTGGGGATTATTTGTATTATTCTAATAACACTAGGGATTATTAAGCAAATTTAAGGGATTACTGTTCACCCAGCCCTAATTTCTTGTACAACCTCTTGGCATGGCTCACACACTCACTGTGACCTGACCTGCATGAAGCCAAGTAAACTCCCTGCACCTCTGCAGACACTCGCTCCTCTAACATCCCCAGCCCGTTTGCTCTCGCTTGACCCCTCTTCTGTCCCTGGCAAATGCTGCCGTCTAAGACCTTCAGACACTACTGCCCTACCAGAGCTCCCTCTCCTGAATGGGGACTTCCTCTTTCTAACCTCAGGGTCCAGTTCCCCACCCCATCTCTTCAAAGGAAACTTTTTCTTTAGAAACTAATGCGGGAAGGGAAGAGCATTCATTGGTCCAGAAGCCAAAATAAGTTAGTGCCTTAGAGTTTCCAACCATGCCAGCTTGCCTTGGAGGTAGGGCTTCCTTGAGAAGTGGGACTCTCAGTGCTGAAAATGGGAAGGTTCCAGATAGACTGGTTAAGTTGGAATCCTAGTCTTGGCCAAGGTCACACTTAAGTTGATTTGCCATTATCTTGCCAGGAAACTGGACAAATCACTTAACTCTCTGGACTCCAGTTTTCTCATCTCTAAGAATAGGACTTGGGGTTTCACCAGATCCCTGCCAGCCCTCAGGCTCCAAGCCCAGCTGGTGCCATATGCTTCTGTGTGGCACACAGGTGTGCTTCCTGCTGACAGTGGCATCTGGGTACATAGCACAGTACCCTGCACACAGCAGGTGCTCACTAAGGACCTGTGGAAAGGATGAATGCACACCCCACTTTTGGCTTGATCTCTATCCAAACCCCTCAAACCTCTACTTACAGTTCTGACTCCCAGTCTTTTCCCCATCTCAGCTTCCTCATCTGTCACCCACAAGCCTCTGGAACCTGTGACTAAGCCAGAAACTCTGCCCATTGAGCTGAGCTGAACATCCAATAAGGGACAAGGGAGTCCAGTCACTGCTTCCATTGGCAACAAATGCTTGCCTTGAGTGCCTTCACAAGATGTGTTGCCCACCTTGGTGGATTCTGGAGCACTGTCACATTCTGGTAACTGAAGTCCACCTGAGCAAAAGGCCTGAGTGGGACTGCTTTGGAGATGTGTCTGTCCCTGGTCACCTCTTGTCTCCTGGGCATCTGCTTACAGCCACTCTCAGCCTAGCCTCAGACCCCAAGTGGGACTCTGGAGTCAGACTGTCCAGGTTCCCAGTTTGGACCCACCAATTCCCAGGATAAGGTATGACCTTAGGTGTGTTACTTGTTATCTCTGAGCTTCAATTTTTCCTCTTGACTTACTAACAGTAGAATTGATCTTATAGACCTATGGTGAGGATTAAATGCATATGGAGAGCTTGCTGAGTGGAAGTAGGTGCTCAATAAATATTAGACATTGTTGTTATCATGACAGGACCATCATCAACACTCTCAGTTCGGTGAAAATGGAGCAAAGCAGCAGCTCGATCTAAAAAATCCTCTCTCACTACCTGGAGTCTCCTTACCTCCAAGAAGCCTTCCCAGGTTACCCCTGGGAGAGCAACTATCAACTTGGTCCACATGGCCAGGACCCTCCCCAGGGGAAGGGGCACCTCTGTCTGCAGCTTCCATCCTGCTAATATAGCCTTCCTTCCCCTGGCCCAGGTCAGCTGGTCTGTCTTAAAGACCATACTGAACTCCCAGAGTGCAGGCTAGCCCTGCCCACAGGTGCTCTGAAAGGGTTCAGAAGGGACAGTGAGGAAGACAGGGGTGGAGTGGGGGGGGACTGGGGAAAGCTGAGAAGGCAGCCCCCAGGGAGCTGGGCCACACTCACCAATGTAAACACGCCTGCTCCCAGTGCTGCGTAGACCGCGTGGAGCCAGGGTACCTGTGGGCAGAGGCAAAATGGGCTTAAGGATGATGGGAAGGGGCAGTGGACAGAGCAGGAGGAGAGAAGGCTTAATCCAGAGAAATGAAGGGTGTGCTCCCCAGCATTCCCTAAGATGCCCCAGGACTGAGAGGATCCCTTTGATTCTCTGTGTGCTCAGGGTGGATAAAGGGAACCCCAGGATAAGGGCAATCATGGAGGCACCAGCAGGGGTGGGGGGGCTCACCATCAACCTGGTGTATCCTCCCTCAACACACAGCCCCAGACTCAGGCTGGCAGAGCATAAGTCATCCTGATGGGGCCCTGTCATCCTCCCAGCCTGGGTCTCGCTCCAGGTTGCTCCTGACTCCCTGAGTGCTCATCCCTATCCAGTATAGGGGTCTGCCTATACCTCTGTCTGGGAGCTCCCTGGCTCTACCTTGGGGCTAAGGGGCTCCAGTGGAAGGGGACAAGGACTTGAACTCGGGGGTGTGGTGAGGGTGCCATCTGGAGTCTCTACCAGCTCCAAATGGCAGGCTTGCCTGCAAAGGCTGGAGCAGACCCCCCACTCAACCTCTGCTTCCCTAGATCTCCCTGTGGGTCTCAGGGGCACCCAGCTATGTGTGGAAGTACCACAAGAGGTGCCATCCTAGCCAGGCCTGCTGTGGAACCCTCCCCCAGAAGATTCCTGGAAACAAAGGTATCCAGGTATCAGCCAGACCTGGGTCAATAAAAGGTTCTTTGAAGTTCCATGGCCCCTTCCTGTAACCCTCCCCATCCTAGATACACAGAGGGCCTGAAGGCCAGCTCCGGCCCCTCCCTTCATCAACAGGATCCTGGGAAAAGCCAAGGAAATGCCAGAATCAATTCCAATGTCCTGGACTGGGTGCCAAGTGCCCCATGGCTGGGGCTAAGCAGGATGGAGTGGCGGGGAGAGTGGGGAATACTGCTCCCAACCCCAGCAGAAAAGGGGCAAAGGGGGACCATGTTCCCCAAAGTGGGGGCTGTAGTAGTGAGGCAGGTTTAAGCACTGAGCCCCCAGCAGGGGTCCAATAGCTTCATCTCTGGGTTCCCAGGATTCAAATCTCAAGGTCCTCCTGTGACCCCACCATCTGCCCTCTTCTCCACATGCAGTGGCCTAGGTGCCTCTAGAGTCCCTGCTGGATTTCCCCAGGGCAGGTAGGACACCTCTAACAGGGCTGAGATGTGGCTGCTGGCCTGTGGAGCTCTTACTGAGTTGGGGATACTCTGGGCCCCCGTCCCACCTCTCACTTGCCTGGCTAGCCAAATTCCACTTTTTTGGACTTGGCTAGTCCCCCAGGAGCCGCAGAAGCCCCTACCTCAAGGCCCCTCTGGGCTTGGTGGGTCCCAGGGAGCCCCAGTGCTTCCCTCCCTGCCCCCAGAGTTTAAATGCTCTATGCTCTCCCTCAGCCTCCAGAGAGGGATGAGGAAGGGAAGCCGGATGTGGCTCCTGGAGCCAGGTAGGTACCCAGGCCTGCCAAGAAAAACCTCCTTGTTTGCTTATACTGCCAACATGCCTGGGACAGGTGCCAGGAGGGGCCAACAGGATGGCACGCTGTGAGGCTTTGGTTCCGGGACTTCCCTGGAGAGTGTAGGAGGGAAAAACACCCTTGGACCAGCTCCCCAGGGGCTTTCTGGGGGACCCAGAGACTCACATATTGGAAGGGCAGGAGGATGGCTAGGATGAGTCCACTGAAGAAAAGAGTCATGAGCAGCACGAAGAGCACACCTTGGCAGGAGGTGAAGTCAAACTGTGGGTACAAGACAGGGTCAGCTGCTGTTCCCCTTAGGCCTTCACAGACAGGCAGGGATCCCTTGGGTCCCCAACTACAGGCTGAGCCCATGTAGTAGGCCACAGTCTTGTGCTCAACCCTAGAACCCACCTTCCTTCTCCTTGGCCCCAGGGGGCCTTGACCCACTTTACCTGTCCCCAGCCCTAGGTCCAAGCATGAAGCCCCCCACCCCATCTGCCTTCCCCTGCTCAGCCGCAGGCCAGCATCTCTGCCTGCAGGTGCCAGAGCTGACCTTGGTCTGGAAGCTGAAGACGGTGACTGAGAGGCAGACGAGGGCCGTGATGCCCAAGCACAGCAGCACAGATGTGGTGTTGTAGTAGCTGGGGACCGCAGGCCCAGGGCTCAGCTTCCGGGCAGGGCTCTGGTCTCTCCCAGCCCTCCTCACAGGCCCACCCTCTCTGCCAAGACCTGATCTCCTGACCTCTGGCCTCAACCCCATCCCTCTCTCAGGGTCCTCCCTGCTCAGTTTCCCTGGCCTTTCTGCTGGGCTCTCCCCTTTTGAAAATGCTCAGACTTAAAATCAGGTTAGAAGGATCTTGAAGAGGTGGGAGTGGGAGTGGGGAGGGGCTTGTACTGGGGCCTGGAGGTGGTTCACAGGTAGCTATAGAATCATGAGTCTAAGGCCTTTAAGCTACAGCTTAAGAGGAGTCACTTTGCTCCCCACCATCTCCCACCTCCCCCATCCACCTGGCCAGGTCCTGGAGTCACTGCCCACTTGAGTGCATGAGGAGAGGGCCCTAGGCCAAGGTTCCCTGCCTGCCTGGATCCCCTCTTCAATCTATGTAATGCTCCCAGGAAGGACAGTATTTGGGAGCAGCTCCCCTCGGGTGTGGCCTGGCCTACAGCCTTCCTTTCCTTTCCTCCTATTCCCTTTACCTGGACAACATCCCGGTGAGGTAGGCCATGGACAGAGTCTGAAAGGAGAAGCAGAGTGGAGGAAAGATCCAGAGCTCAGACTTTGGGGGGTCAGGCACCCTCAAGGTCCAGCCCAGGTTTCCACCCCTTGTATGTCCCCTCAAGTGGACTTGCTTTACCCTTCCATTCACTGACTTTTGGGACTCAGCTCTAGGTGAGGAATGTCCCCACAAGCCAGCTTCCAGGCTCCTGTGCCAGTTGTTCCTTCCTTTCTTCTGCTCTTCCCTTTCTAACAACCCCCTCTTTTTCACTATCATAGCTCTATGATACCCCAAACCCCTTAAAACCAAAATCTCAATGAAAAGAGACAGCAGATGGAGAGTGGGAGAAGGCTAAGCCCATTAGGAAAGAGAAGATGGAATGTCTTTGTGGAATAAATAAAGTGAAAACACCTCTGGCCCTCAGGGACCTCAATGTTGGACACCCCCAGCCCGGACTTCCTGGCCCTAAAGCTCACCCGGCTTCCTTCCTTCCTCCATCCCCACATACCATCTGTCCCCAGCCCACCGCCAGGTCACTTACAAAGACAGTCAGGAGAATCAGGTTCCAGGGAAAATGCCTCCTGCAAGGCAAGACACAGAGCTCAAAGGGGAGCAGGGGATGCCAGCAGCATAGATGGCCAACCCCTTCCACCCTCCTTGGAGCTTCTTCCTTCAGCCACATCCCCATGTGCCCCCACCTGTGTATCTACCCTCTCCCTACCTCAGAAGTGCCAAGTAAAGGAGGAAGGGGCAGGCGTGATTGACAGAGGCCCAGAGAGGGACTGGGCCCTGTCAGGAGTGCACAGCACAATGCTGGCAGGCAGGGCTGGGGCCAGAACTTTCAAGATCCTGTTCCTATTTCTACACATTCCTTGAGCAATTATCGTACCTGGGTCCAGAACAGCAAGCCAGGGTCAGGTAGGTTGCAAAGAATACAGCACTGTGAAGGACAGATGGATGGGTAAACTGGTGAAGTCCTCCCGAGGGCCTTCATCCCGTCCTCCTGTTCATCCCCTCTCTGCCACTCTGCTCACAGGGCAGCCAGACAGGAGTTGGGCACAGTCACTCTGGAACCTAGCAATGAGCAGGGTGGTGGTCCAACCCCAAAAGAGGAAGGGGGCAGGACAAGACTCCTTCTAGAAGTAGTTGAAATCTTGGATGCCATGGGACAGCTCTTCCTGACCACCCAATCCAAAGAGGCCTCCCCAGACACTATCTTATTACTTTAAAAGCTCATATACAGCATTTCCTACATGCTGGGCAGAGTTTTAAGTGCTTTATGAATATTAACTAATGTAATACTCATATCTTATCTCTGAAGTATGTTCTTCACTTCATAGTTGAGGCAGGTGAAGTCAGAGGACTTGTCCAAGGTCATGCAACCACCTTGTTACAGAAGCAGGATTAGAACATGGGCGCTCTGGTTCAAGTCCTTGCTTATAATCACTAGCCCACACTGCGTCATCCATACCCTTCACTGCTTTGTCATTAGCTGTAACAATCCTGTTGGTCTAGCCTACTAGAATGTGAACTCAGGAAAGGAAGGGCCCTTGTCTGTCCTGCCAGTCTCTGGCACAAGCTGCAAGTGGCACCTGTAGAATGAATTTTGGGATCAGGTGGCCGTGTTCAGTGGGAGGCTGGCAGGGAACTCAGGGGCAATCCAGAGATAGTGATTGAGGATTTTCTGGAGAGCAATGGAAGTAGAGGCTAGTCCAGAAGGTGAGAGATGAGGGCTGAGGATCTATGGGTAGGGCATGCCCACACCCATGTGTGTTAGGTAGAACAGTTCTTCCTGACCTCCCAATCCAAAGTGGCCTCCCCAGACCCTATCGTATTACTTTAAAAGCTCGTATACAGCATTTCCTATGTGGGCAGAGTTTTAAGTGCTTTACGAGTACCAACTAATGCAATTCTCATCTTCACCAATGAGGCATGGCCTCTAACCCCCAGTGGGCCTTCTGCATGGCACTACCATCCTTCCCTCAGCCTCCTTCCTGCATTCTCTTACCCATCCTCCATAATTCCAGACTTGCTGTAGCAATTCCAAACTTGTCCTCCATCCAGACTTCCCGGGCACCTCACTTTCCTGCACACTCAGTCTCATGTGTCCCAGAGAGATGTGAGAGAACAGGGGAGCAGGGGGGCTCCCTGGCTCTCTGCCTGCCTCCTATAAACATCATGTGGGCACCGTGCCCTCCTGTCCCTCTTCCCATCCCAAGCTGATTCCCTGGCCGGGGCTCTGGGTCCCACCCCCTCAACTGCCCGGGGATCTCTTGATCTTCAACCTTTCTATGGGCACCTCTCCACCCCACATAAACCTCCTCAGCCGTGTTCCATCTCTACCCAACATCTTCCCTGGCTTCAAGCTGTTGTCCCTTTCTCTGCACTCGCAGCCAAGCTTCTTAAGAAAGTGGTCTCCAGGGCGGCGCCTGTGGCTCAAGGAGTAGGGCGCCAGTCTCATATACTGAGGGTCGCGGGTTCAAGCCCCACCCCGGCCAAAACTACAAAAAAAAAAAAAGAAAAAAGAAAAAGAAAGAAAGAAAGTGGTCTCCATTTGCTGAGCCCAGCAAACCCAGCCTCAGCCTGCTGGATGGGAGCTGGCTCTGCCACACCACTGTGGCCTTGTGAGTCCAGTTATACTTGTCAGTCCTCATCTTACCTAGCTCTTCAAAGTGTGGTCACTGCCATTGTTTCCCTCTTCCCAGAGAAGTACTCTTGGGTCCCTCCCATCTCCCTTGCCTCTCCTTCAGGGCATCGTTCAACCTGCCTGGTTCCTCTAACGCCGGTCCTCTCAAGCTCCTCTCCCTCCACAGTCCCCCTAAGTGGGCTCACTTGTCTTCATATTTCTGATCTACATTTTCCTTCTCAATCTCAGATTCAAATATCCAGCTGCCTACTGGGCAGGCATGGCTATTCAGAAATGAATCATTCTCAAAAGATTAAAACTGAACTCCTCATCTTCTCCTGCACCCCCTTGCTGCAGAGGACATGATATGCTCTCCGTATCACCTGACCAGAGACCATAGCATCATCCCTGATGTTCACCCTTCCACACCCAATTAATTACCTAGACCTGTTGATCTTCCTACCCAGACAGTTCTCAAATCTGCCCTCTTCTCTCCATCCTCACTACCACCCATAAAGGTCAGGTCACCTCTTTCTGGACTTGACCATTGCAGGAGTTCATGTGATCCTCCATCCACAGCCTTGCCTTCTACCCTCCATGCTACGGGCAGATCCGATCATGTGACTCCCATGTATAAAATTCCCAGAGACCTAGCATTGCCAAGTGCAATCCACACCCCTTGCCCCTCCCCTATGGCCCATCTCTCACCACACTCCACCTCTCCATTCTACCCCTCTCATTATAACTTGTCCTGCCCTCAAAATGTGCCTGCCACACTCTGCTCATGCTGCAAAGGACCGAATGGCAAGGATATCTGTGGCCTGAGTTAGCAGGGCATCCTACATGTACCACGAGCATACCTCACCTAGAACTGTACCCCCACAACCTCTGGACCAGCTTGTGTGACTCCCCACCCAGGTGTAGCATCTGGAGACCAGCCTGCAACTTATTCATTTTGTGTTCTTACCATCTAACCCAGAACCTGGAACCTGGTAGGTGATTTTCAAATATTTCTGGATGAAATGCAAAACAAAAAATCCCAGAGAATGAAAAGATGAAACAACCCTGTTGGATTTGGTGAGTAGGATTCCTTCATCTTAACTCTTCCCTAACTGTTCAGCGTTTCTCAAATAATGAGGAACTGTCATTGTGATTGGGAGGTTCTATTGGTAGCTGTTGCCAGGGGCTGTGAACACTCTGCTCCATGCAAGAGAGCAGAAACATTTGCCCCAGTTAAGAAACACCCCAGAATCTGCTGTCTTTTGGTCTCACTTGAGTCATTGGTCAGTCACTTAGACAATAATGATAATAATGCCCTTGTCCATGCGTATCCTGGGTGTGGGTCCTGTCTTCCAAGCCAGACTAGAAGCTTCCTGAGGGCAAGAGCTCAGGTTCCTTTTCTCTCTGGTCCATAGTTCCTCAATCCTCGAGACAAGGGGTTAGGAGGAAGAGCAGGGGGGCTGAAGAACTGGGGGCTGTGGTACAGCTTTGGAGCATTCACAGCCCAGCTCTGTCACTACTATTGCGCAGCCTTGGCCAATAGCCAAGCTCCAAAGACTTTTTATTTTTTATTTTTATTTTTTCTCCATGGACCAAGAATGTTGGAAACCAACTACCTTTTTTTTTTTTTTTTTTTTTTTTGAGACAGAGTCTCACTTTGTTACCTTAGGTAGAGTGGGGTGGCATCACAGCTCACAGCAACTTCCAACTCTTGGGCTTAAGCGATTCTTTTGCCTCAGCCTCCGGAGAAGCTGGGACTACAGGCACCCGCCACAATTCCTGGCTATTTTTTGTTGCAATTCTCATTGCTGTTTTAGCTGGCCAGGGCTGGGTTCAAACCTGCCACCCTTGGTATATGGGGCTGGCGCACGGGCGCCGCCCCCAACAACTTTTGTTTTCCTATTTCCAACTGCCAGCATTCCTGTTCTCCTTTCTTATAAAACAAGAATAGTGGTACCAACCCACTGGGCTGTTAGAAGAACTGATGAGAGAATTTGACTCAATCATTCAGCACACAGCCTGGCACCAGGTAAGGACTCCCCCTGGGAGCTGCTATTATTAAAATTAAAAGCTGGCTGACAGCTTCCTGGAGAGCCTCAACCCACCTCCATCCCAGCTCTGGTCTCACACTTTTCCTCCTCTGCCTGTGTTTTTCCCAGTCGGTATAAGCCTTCCATCCTGCAGACACCACAGCTCAGTGAGAGCAATCAGACAGTCAGGTGGGACCCATGACTAGGGCGTTGAGAAAGCAGGGAAGTGGGGTGTGGATGGGGGCTGGTGGGAAGGCTGGCATCCCCGGGGTCAGAGAATGAGTCACAGAAGGAGTGAGAGAGAGAACCACTGATTAATGTGTCAGAGCAAGCCCCAGGGCCTGGGCAGGAACCAGTCTATTTACAGATGTCAGGACAGGGGCAGAGGCTCAGGAGCAGGCATTGTCCAAACCCAGTGCCCTCCCCCAGCTTGTCCTGCTCTAGGACCCAGACCAGAGCCCTAGGGAGGCAGCAGAGCACAGAGGGTAAGTGCTTAGGTTTCATTGTCAGAAAGACCTGGGTCTCTTCCTTGGCTGTGCTGCTCAGAATGCAATAACGTCTCAATCTCAATTTCTTTTCTTTCTTTTTTTTTTTTTTTGGCAGTTTTGGCTGAGGCTGGGCTTGGACCTGCCACCACCAGTATATGGGGCCAGCGCCCTACTCCTTGAGCCACAGGCACCACCCGACATCAATTTCTTCATTTGTAAAATAGGGATAATAGTATCTGCCTGGTAGGGATCAAATGAAAAATACTCGTAAAGTGCTTAGCACAGTGCTCTACACACAGACTGCTGTCTGATTTTTATTGCTATTGTTCCAAAATGAAGAGACTAGGACAGAGCCCTCAAGAGTGTTTTCAGGAGGTGAGACCCAGGACTCAGACAGGAGGCAGACTGGCAGGATGGAGAGGGTTGGGGATTGGGGAAGGAGCAGGGCTGACCACAGGTGTGCTTTCTAGAGGAAAAGGGCAGTGTCCTGCTGGTGCAGCTCCCAAGCACCTTTACTTTTGTGAGAGCCCCATGAAAAACACAGTCCACACCCACGTGGATTCCAACTGCACCCTATCAAGCCAGAGAGGGCATCTCTGTTTTATTCCTAGAGATGTTAATGAGGACTCCAAATCTCACTTCTCAGAGGTCAGAGTTTCACACTTCACCCTTCTCAATACGTCCCACCTCCCTCCATGGAGTGGACTCTGCCTCCACCTCCTGAAACTGCTCATTCCTGAGTTGTCCCCCTGCCACCACCTGCTCAGGACCCAGAGTTCCACAGACTCTCCACAGAAGGCTTAGAGAGGGAGGGGCCTCAAGACTCCATCCCGAGTTCTCAGGGGCCTAAGGCTGCCAGGAGGTGCTTATGTGCTGAGAGCCATGCCAACTCACTGCGTGGGCTGGCCTGGGTGGCAGTCCCAGGTGCCTCATTAGCTTCACCATACAGTGTCTCCTGGCTCCCCCAAGACACATGCCTCCCTGCCTGGTCTGCGGACAGGTCCTCTGTCCTGCGCCCTAGGAAATGCTCTGGGTATGAATGTCTCCTCCCCTGGAACCTCCAATTTGAAGAGCCACCTCCCCTTCTCTGATGAGCCCTGGTGGCCAGGAGAAGTCTCCTTCCTGTCAGCCTTAACAGGCTTGTGTTAACTCCAGGCCCAGCTCTGAGACCGCTCTGGGCTCAGGGTAGTCAGAGGACTTTGGGCAGAGCCCATCTCCCCACCAGATCCCTATTCAGGAACAAGTCTGAGATAGCTGCTGTGTGCAAGCTCTTTGGCCAAGTCGTCACAGCCTCAGCCCCCCAAGTCCCACTGCTGGTCTGAGATACCTCCGAATTTCCCTACAGGTGGCCTGCCAGCCCTCTGCCACTCTAGTTCCTAATTTAGCAAAGGTAACGACATGCATTCTCACTCCCGTGCTTTTGCTTAAGCCTCTCCTCTCCTGGAAACACTGTCCCAGCACTCTTGACTCAGCCTTAGAGGGGAATCCCCAATGTGGGCTACCTGCTGTGGTGCACTGGGCTCACCCCTTCGCTCCACTCCTCTCTGAATGTCCCGTGCTGCCTTGTACCACCCACTGCCTTCCCCTGCAGAGGCATCCCCCTCAAGCCACTATACAGGGCTGGGCTCACTGTTGGGAGGGAGGGGAGCTGAAGGAGACAGACCATGGTGAAAACAGTTCTACTTTGAGCCCCATGGTGGTTCTGGCCTGGACTTATCCAGAATGACTCCTGGAATTACCCAGAAAGCAGGTCAGAATCACCTACACCTCCAAACCTCTCCCAAGTTATCTGTCATGTTCCTTAAAGTGTTTAGGAGGCTGAAGGGAGCCTGCCAAACCAGAACATTAAAAGCACAAACCTTAACCTGAATCCCAGGTTTGAATCCAGCTCTACTATTGACTAGCTGTGTGACCTTGGGCAAATTACTCAACCTCTCTGAATCTTAGTTTTCTAAGATAATCATACCTAGCAGATTTGAGGATAGAATGCAATACTATACATCAAGCACAGAGAACAATGCCCAGCCCTTACTAGGCATTCTTTAAGTGGTAGCTATTATGATTCATAAGCATTAATAACAACACAAGAGTGGCAACATTATCATCAACGTGGATCAAGGTGTTCCAGCTTCCCCCTTCCCTTAAGACCAAGGTCTGGTTCTCTTCAACCATGGTCCCCCACCCCACACTTCCTAGTTTGTGCAGGCACCAGAACCTACCCCTATCTCCACTCTGCCCCATTGGTTCTAAACACCCATGAAAGGTCCTTCTGGCCATGCACTGAAGCCAGCAGAATGGGGTAGGGCTGGAGGGCAGTCCCCATGGGAGAGGGGGAAGCCAGGGACTTGGGGTCTATCAACAGAGATACCCTCCTCCTGCCACTTCCCTCTCTGGGAGGCGGATATACTCACTAGGATGCCCAGTACCAGCCTGGGTTGGCCTGGACATAGTCCTTAACAGGGTCACTGCAGAGAAGAGAGAGAAAAAGAGAGTCAGAATTTGACCCCAGGTCTTGATTTCTGGTTCAACATCTGCTCTGCCCCCCACAGTTCACAGGAACTGAGAGGGAGAAGGAAGGACGTAGTCCCTATGGGCTTGAGGAGTCCCAGGCTGAGACCTGGGGTGCTTAGGGGTATGCAGCTAGTGGATGGGAGAGAAATGACTGCTACACAGACACCTGCAGGCCCAGAGGCACCCCGGGGCCACTGCCCTCCTCACCCTGGGCTCTCTAAGGTTCTTCCCCAGGTCAAGGAGGTCCCCACCCCACATCCAGGCAGACATTCCAAGAGAGGTCTGAATTTGGGTTCCCCTGCCCCAGGCCTGGCCACAGCCACCCCTGGGAGGTGCCAACTCACCAAAAGGTAAAGAGAGCCACAACACCCAGAGTCACCAGCAGCTGGATCAGCAGGATGGTATAGACCTGGGGGTAGGAGTGGGTCCATTCAGCTTGGGGAGCCTTGTTTGAGGCCAGATAGGCTCAGGGAGACCCCAGCCTCCCGGTGACTCAATCAGCTCTCCAGACCTACATCCCTCACACTCCACCCTCCCTTTTAGGGGTCACTGAAATGGAGCCAGGACAAGGCAAAAGGTGAATGAAGATGCGCCCGAGCTCACAGCCACAGGAGAAGGAACCCCATGCATCCGGGGAAAGAGGAGGTAATGTGTTTAGGTGTGGCAAGGGTGCTGGGGTGAATGCTGAGGAAGCATGTGCTCCTGGCTGGGATTACAAGAGAAGGTGAAGGTGGCTTCTGCAGGCCAAGGGCTGGGCAGGGGCCTCTCTGGGGCTCCCGCTACTGAGCTCCCAGTCCCAGAAAACTGGGGAGAGGCAGTTACCTTTCTGATGAAGACTCGGCGAACTTTCTGGTCATCCCAGCTGAAGGTAGTGAAGAGTTCATGGTCTCCGGTGGGGTAAGCGTTGTCATAGCCAGAGGTGCTGCCTGGGGGGCAGGTGGAAGACATGAGGGCACCCCATACATAGAAATGCTGCCCCTATCCCCACCTGCTCAGAACTGTCTTTTTGTCATCCCGACTCTTGGGACCTGCTGAAGTTTTTCTCTCCAGCCCCACTGTCAAATACTACACCCCAGCCCATTCCAATCCACCCCCAGATGTCTCTCCCTGGTCAATTCTTGCTTTTCCTGCCTATGTTCTAGGAAAAAACTGTAATCTCCCCTCCCTTCCCCTCCACCCCTGTAGGGCATCTTCCCTACTGTGCCCTCCTTCCCTGGACCTTCTGGTTTCCTTGTGGCTAAGGATCACAAAGGGACAGCCATTCTCAGCACAGTCCTCCAAATCCTGAGCCTTTGACTATACAACCTCATATAACAACTTGTGCTCCTTGTCTGGGCAATTTCCAAGTCCTCAAATGTGTCTACTCTGTTCCTCACCAGGTCTCCCTGATCTCCCCCTGCCCCCAGCAATAGTCTCCATCTTAGTCTTGGTCTTTCAATGTTGACCATGACATGGAGCTCTTCAATGGCTCCCTACTGCCCTTCATTCAAGTTTAAGTTCCTTAACAAGTTCTCTGTGAGTGGGACCCTCCCACTGCACATTCCTCCTTCCCACTTTTCTCAGCCTTAGTGTATTTTTTCAGCCATTGTGTTCACTTGTTTCTAGGCCTCTATTCTACTCTTCCTGCTTTTTTTTTTTTTCTGGAAATACATTTACTTCCTGTTTTTAAAATTTCAGGTTAGTGTGAGGGTATGTACCACATTATTTGCATTTGTAAGGTAAAGTCCAAAGTGAGTTGCAGTTGAGTCCTTCACCCAGGACATGCATTATACCACGTATCCCCACATGGTACTCCATTGTGGAAACTTACCAAGCCCCCCCCCCATCATCCAGCTTTAAATGCTTATTTCTCTATCTCTTCCCCAGGTTAATTCATGCCCATCCTCTAGGACTCTGCGGATACCCCTTCCTCCAGAAAGCCCTTCTTGACTGTCAGGCAGGTTAGGTGAGGTGCCCAGGCCTCTTTCACTGCATTAATGTCACTGAGTGGTAATCCCCTATTTACATGTCTATACAGTCAGCTCTCTGAGGGCAGGGATCCCAGTAGGTTTTATAGGTCAATGCATCTCCCAGAATAAGCTCAGAGCTGGACACTAAATTTAGTCTGTCACAGCTATCTGAAAGGAGCTGCCTCCCTGCCTCAATAGTTCCTTGGAACATGTTCCTTAAGGCAGCCAGTGCTGACAACCAAAATATGGGAAATGAGGAGGAGAAAGAGAGGTGGATTCCTTGTAAACCTGGGGGGTGCAGACCCTCACCCTCTTATCCTCTACTTCTCCTTCATGTTCCATCCACATCTCCTGCCAATGACTGGGCCATAGATGAAGAGAAAAGGAGAGGGAAAGTAGTCTCTCCTAAAGGGCAGCAAGAAGGGGCCTACAACTATCAGACCTTTGTTGACCTTCCAGTAGGTCACACTGGGGTGAGTCCTCAGGGATCTGGACCCAGGGGGGTTGTAGCGGGAGGTGTGGACCATGGTGGCCACTCCCTGCTAACAGAACCTCTGTCTGTGGTATTGTCCCTGAGATCCCTTCTAGAATTCTGCTGGGAGTGGTGTGATAAAGTGGGGGAGGGGCTGCTGGGGGAGGCTTGTGGGAAACTATATGTTCTAGACCTGAGACAAAGCTCCCATAGGTTGCTCCACCCAACAGAGGAGCTCCCATCAGCTGCGATCCTTGGTGTACAAGGAACTGGCATCAGCTCAGGTGAATGTGCCTGGCTGCAAGGGACACTGAGGCTAGCACCCATGTACCTTCCCCACACACATCCTTCTTCCTAGCAAAGGCTTAGGAAAGGGAAGAGAGATACAGAGAGTGATCGGCGAGGTGGATCCCCAGACAACCCTGGGGCCTCCACTGGGACCTGTCCCCACTGAGGTTTTAGATCAGCCACCATGTAAACAATGCACCCCCACTCAGAAGAGGCCAGACCCAGCAAAGGCTGTGGCCAGTGGCACCTCATCCTGTCCGTTCCTCAGTACACTCTGACTCTTCTTTGCATCACCTTCTAGGAAAGCCTTTCTAGAATAGCCTCAGGCTTTTCTTTTCTTCCCCATCTGTCCCCTCAATTTGCCCGAGCACAAAGAACTAAAAAGAAATCCCCTTTCCTATTTGGGAGCACTCTGACCACAGACATTGTATCTCTTATTCTTTTCATGCAATTCCTCTTTGACTTACCCTCAGAACAGTTCTCTAAATCCTAGGCCTTTGACAACACACTTCATACAACAACCACACAGTATATCTGTTTTTTGGTAACTTCCTCCCGGGTCCACTACACCCCTGATGGTCCAGCTTGCAGGAGCTGAGAGACTTACTGGGGTCCACATAGGCCCAGCTTGGGTGGAGAGGCACAGCTGTAGGAGCTGGGGGGAAGGCCCCTGCCTTCAGCCCCTCCCCCAAGGTGGCCTCCTCATAGGAGGGTGGGGCTGAGGGCACTGCTGGAGCCTCCTTCTTCTCGCCATTCACCTGCTGCTGTCCCTCGGTCCCGGGGGCCTTATTAGCCACAGAGAGCTGCAGAGTAGAGGCAGAAAGAGACGGTCACCAGGGAAAGAGAGTCTTCCAACTCCTCCTCACAAGCCCCTCAATCCCTACAAAGTCCATGCTCCTTATCACCTGCACTAGGAAGGGCAGGAATGTAGACAAGAATGTCTCGATTTTATAGATGGAAGAACTGGGCTCCAGGAGGATTGGGGCAAGCCAGGAGCACACAGTGAAACCAGGGTAAGAACTGAGAAAGGAGAAAATTCTTAGGAGTGCTCAATACTGGTTGTTACTGTCCCTAGGTCAGGGATGGGGCCTCTGTGGTTCCAATATTTTCCCTGGGACTCAGGGAAGGGCCTGGCACATAGTAAACCCTCAAAAATACTATTGAATGAAAGGTTGTTTCATGTAATCTTCCTGACACTTGCTAGTTGTATTTTAACCCCTGTTTTAAAATGAGGGAGCTAAGGATCAGAGAGGAAGAGTGACTCGTCCAAGATCACAAAGTTACACATGGCCCACTGGGCTGCAGGGATTAGCACCATCCTCTGGGACTGGCCTCCTGTTGGGCTGGAAATGACATAGGGAGAGTAGAGATGGGGGACAGGACAACAGGAAGGTAGAAGGGAGAGGAGGGGAAAAAGAGGAGGGGTCCTCCAGGGTGGAGGAAAGCGAGAGGTCCTTGGGTAAGGGTCCTGGGCTGGCTTAATACTCTTGGAACCTCAGCCTTTCCCCCAAACTACACAGAATTACAGAATGTCCTTGCTGGAAGAGACCTTGCAAGTCGTTTAGTTTAGTCCCTTCCTTCAATGAATAATTGAGGAAATTGAGGCTCTGAGGAAAATATGCTCAAGGCAGGTTGTTTTTTTTTTTTAATTAAATCATAGTTGTGTACATTAATGCAATCATGGGGTACAATGTGCTGGTTTTATAAACCATTTGAAATAGTTTCATCAAACTGGTTAACATAGCCCTCACCACATTTTCTTAGTTATTGTGTTAAGACACTTATATTCTACTCAAGGCAGGTTTAAAACTCAAGTCCAATTACACTCAGGAATGTCCCTTGCCCCTCCCCATCCCCCTTGTACACGTTTAGTTTTGGTGAGAGGATATGAGCTGGGAGGGCCTGAGTGACAGAGCCAAAGAAGGAAGGATTGGAGTGGAGGGGGTGGTGTGAAAGCTGAAACAGCAACAAAGGGACTGGACCTCAGAAGATGAGATTTAGGTCTGGCTTCCAAAGGAATGTGTTGACCTGAAGGGCCACTGAGGAGGCTGCAGAGTTCCTTGTTGGCAGGGGGACTCTAGCGGAGGCAGCCCAGAGACTGCCAAGTGCCACAAGATTTCTGGTTCCTATCTGGGGCCCAGGACCACTGGACTGGAGGGGTAATGTAAGAAAGCCTGGGAGTGAGTGGGGGGCAAGGGGCTGAGGAGACAGGGGTAATGCATTCAGTCAGGACAGGGAGCAGTCAGTGAGTAAATGGTGACTGTGGGGACGGGGAGTAGAAGGAGAGGCCCAGCAGAGGGGTTGGGCTCCATGTTCACCATACTCCTCAGACTTCCTGGGGGAAGGGATTCAGCACCTAGGCCTGTGGGAATGCTTTCCTCCCTCTCCTCAATCCCCTTCATTTCTGATCACCCAGATCAGAAGGATCATGCCTGAGAAAATTCATTTCAGTTCCCATCCTGCCATTCGGCCCCCCCAGAGACTCCTGGGCCCTGCCCCCTACATCCCCCACACATATGGCATTCCCAAGTGAGGGCTGACAAATGACAGGAGGTGGTATCACCCAATGACATCATTTTGAGGCCTGAAGAGCTTAAAAACAAGGAAAGGAGTGTCTAAGGGACCAGGGGAGGATGCCATTGGCTCTGAGGCTCATCTGAGATAGAGAAGGGAGCAGTTAGGGAGGTCCTTCTCCTGTTTGCTCTGCCCAATCCTTAGCACCCCCAAACAGAGGGCCAGACAGCCCTCCCCCCTTGCCCCAGGCCCTAGTGGTTGTATAATTCCACAGGCTATTGATGTTACATAACCCTATAGCCAAGCCAAGTCTCTGCCCCAGCCCCTCCCCTGCAATTCAGACCTCTAAAACTGGGGGTGTTGGGGGGAACAGATGTTTTATCCAATCTCATTCAGTCCCATGTCTGGCCAAAATCAAAATGAAAATTAGAGCATCCTGATGCAGGGTTGCCATAGTAACCCCCAACCATAAGGGACATATCCAAATGTCCAGATGAGGAATAAGGAGACAGGGAATGGAGGTTCTGCAGATGATGTATAAGATGAATGTAAAGTCGTTGGGTTTGGGATTGGAGCATTGGACCAGAGCTTTGTTGGACTCAGGGCTCACCCTGGTGCACACACACTCACACACACAAACCACTCACAGTCGCACCAGACCAGACACCCAGGCTCACTCAAGTGGGCCTGGGCGCCCCTTAAGAGTCTTGCGAAGCCAAGGCGTGGGGTGGAAGGGAGACATGGGGGGAGAGGCGAGTCCGTGGGCCGGAAGGGGCCCTGTCCACTCCTTGAAGTGGGCCTTTTGGTCCTCTGACTCCAGCAAGGACCACAGAGAACCTTTGCACTAGAGTCAAAGGAGGATGCTTATAGTGGTCCAGAGAGCTTGCTTAGTATGACAGGGAGACGGGGAGCCAGAGGATGGAGGATGGTGCAGGCGGGGGAGATACCGGTACCTTTCCCTGGGTCATGGTGCCGCTTCGGGGAAGGGGTCCCTGAGGCAGGGGCGGCCGCTTGGGTCACCGCAGACTGCCTGCGTCTCTTCCTTCCTCCGCGTGGGTTCTAGCAACATCCACTGCAGCCGGGCCAGGCGGACCGGAGCGTACCATCCGGGCGCGGGGGGAGGAGGGGGCCGGGCCTGGGAGGATGCTGCGGAGGACGCTGCGGATTCGCGAGCCCAGGGGGAGGCGGCCGCGCCGCCCCCGCCTCCGCCCGCACCCTGCGCTGGTTCCTCAGCCCCTCCCCCGGGACCCCAGAGCGTCGTGCCGCGCTGCGGAGCAGCCTAAGTGGATGGGTCCGCGGGGGCGGGGGAGGGGTGCGAGAACTCCGTGACACCGACCAGCTGATGCTGCCTGCTGTAACCAGAGCTGGGTGGCCAGGCCTTATTGCTCCACCATCCATCTCCGCGCTATCTCTGCCGCCTGCAGGGGCCTCTACCTTTCCCCCTCTCTCTTTGGACTTGGCCCTGATTTCTGTCTCCAACTCCTCTTATTTCATCATCCCTGGTAGAGTGGAAACAGTCCCCGACGTCTTGTCTACACTGCCTGCTTCTGACAGGGACCCCGGGCTCCAAGTTCCGATGGGCCTTGGGCATGCCAGGTAGCCACCTCTCCTTGCCTCCCTTTTCTCACCTGTGAAATAGGAACAATAAGCCCTTGCTGCTTGTCTCGCAGAAAACCCTGGGCTGGGAGAATGCAGTTTCTGTGTTTTTCAACTCTGCTCGGACATTTAAGGAGGTCTTTCCAGGGACATCTCTATTTCTGTCTCAAAGCCTCTCCAACCCCCTGCCCTGCTCTCTTCCTGCCTCCACTCTCAGCCTACATCACCCCTGTCTCCATCTTCCCCGCAGCCCAGAGCTAGTTCCACTCCTTTTTTCGGCCCTGTCCTGGGGGCTCAATCCTCACCAGGCCCCATTTTCTGCAGCTGCTGCAGTATCACTGTGGGGTTTGCAATGTCAAGAACTGGGCTCAGGTCCCAATTTAGTCACCCACTGGCTGTGTGACCTTGGCAAGGCCCTTAACCTCTCTGAGCTGCAGCATCACCTACAAAAAGGAGAATGAGAGCAAGCAGTGTTTATCCTAGACTGATGGTAAGACACAGGTTATGGGAGTGAATACACACTGAATACCCCAAGTGCTGCAAGTATTCAACTTATTATTAACTAAGGAATCTAGGATCAGAACATCTAAAACAATAAAAAAGAAGAAGGTTTTAGGCTGCTCCAAAGACTCAGAGATCCTAAAAGAAGGATCTGAACCTCCTGGGATGGAATGAGAAGCCAAGACCTGGGGCAGGTGTGGGTGGCTACTTACCTTCTGCTTCCCTACCATCTCCCAGACCCACCTAAAGGCCAACGAGAAAACAGGGCCATAGGTGAGCAATAAATCAAATTCTTTATTCCACTTTTTTTTTTTTTTTTAGACAGTATCTCCTGCTGTTGACCCAGCTGGAGTGCATTTATGTCATGATGCTCACAGCAACCTCCAACTCAAGTGATCCTCCTACCTCAGCCTCCGGAGTAACCGAGACTATGGGCACATACCTCCACACCTGGCTAGTTTTTCTCTTTTTAGTAGAGATAGGATCTTGCTTTTGCTCAAGCAGTCCACCTTCCTTAGCCTCCCATAGTGCTAAGTAACAGGCTTGAGCCACTGTGCTAGCCTTTCTTCCACTTCTTCTTGCCCTTTGCCCACCATTCTATAACCAACAATTTCCCACACATGGCTCAAGCCTGGACCTCCATGTCCAGAGGCTCTCTCAGCCCCTGCAGACATGAGACCTCCCTCCAGCAAGCTGGCCCCTGGCCCCCACCACTGCCAAAGCTTCACCCCACTATTCTAGGTTCTAGCCTATTCTCCCACTCTGCATCAGCATTCTGGAGATGTTTTCTTCTCTGTTTGACAGCTCAAGTGCTACCTCCTCCAGGAAGCCCTCTGGCCCCCTATATGGGATTAGATGTTCCTATTCTGTGGTTTTGTAGCACCCTGATGTAGCAACTGCCACATGACACTGAAGTTTTCTTGTCTATCTCCCTCTTAGAGTCTAAGGATCTTGCCTGTATCAGTTTTTAGGTCAGCAGGACTGACTACAGTGCCAGGCATGTGAAATACACTTAATAAATTGTAGCTATTAATATTTCCCAGACATGTGGCATCATGCAGTGCTTTTCTGTAGGCCTCAGAATTTTTATGTTTAGGAATTCCTCCTGTCCCTTTTCTCCCCATTTGCTATGCTCCAGCCACACGGGCCACTTGGCTGTACCTTGACGGGCCAAGAATGCTCTGAGCTCAGGGCCTTGGCACATGCTGTGTCTTCTTTTTTTTTGAGACAGAGCCTCAAGCTGTCACCCTGGGTAGAATGCTATGGCATCACTGCTCACAGCACCTCCAATTCCTGGGCTCAAGTGATTCTCCTGCCTTAGCCTCCCAAGAACCTAGGACTACAAGCACCTACCACAATGCCTGGCTATTTTTTGGTTGCATCCATCATTGTTGTTTGGCGGGCCCAGGCTGGATTCTAACCTGCCAGCTCAGGTGTATGTGGCTGGCGCCTTAGCCGCTTGAGCCACAGGCACCGAGCCAGTGTCTTCTTCCTGGAATGCCTCCAGATCACTGCAGGGCTCAACCCTCCCTTCACTGCTCTGCTCAGTCATCGCCCGATAGAACAGGTCTTCCTGATCTTATACAAGGTAACAATGCCACCAACATACCCCCACCCAGCCTATCAGTCCCTTTTTCTGGAACCAGCTTAATTTTTTCCATGGTGTTTGTCACTTGGACATAAATTTTTTGTTTAGATCTCACTCTCTGGTTCTCTCTCTGTGTGTCCCATTAGCATATCAGCTACACACAGGGAGGAGTTTGAGGGTCTGTGTCATTAATAGCACCGAGCACAGATATAGTAGCTTGATAAAAATTTGGACAGGATCATACAAAATCCTTGTATTCCTCAGACTTTTTTTTTTTTTTTGACATAGAGTCTTACTTTATTGCCCTCGGTAGAGTGCTATGGCATCACAGCTCATAGCAACCTCCAACTCTTGGGCTCAAGTGATCCTCTTACCTCAGCCTTTCGAGTTGCTGGGACTACAGGTACCCACCACGACACCTGGTATTTTTAGAGATGGAGTCTTGGTCTTGTTCAAGCTGGTCTGGAACTCCTGAGCTCAGGCAATCCACCCACCTTAGCCTCCCGGAGTGCTAGGATTACAGTTGCAAGCCACCGTACCCAGTCTTTCCTCAGACATTTTGACATTGTCGGTGCTATGATGTTTTTCAGATGTTGGACTCTATTACATTGCCATCACATATATGTCCCCATTAGGTGATCTTTGAACATTACTGAGATATATTTGTGTGACACTCCTCTGGCTTCTGGAGGCAGTTAAGCAGGGTGATCAAAAGCACAGCTATAGAGGCAGACAGCTTCTCTGCATAAAAGCTGTCTGATTCTGGGCAAATGAGTTTACCTCTCAGAGGCTTAGTTCCTCATTTATAAAATGGGGGATTGTACCAACTTCATGGGACCAGAGGGAGGACTAAATGTAACATATATAAAGTGTTTGACACAGCGTCCAGCACATAATAAGCACTGGTGTTAGCTATTAGTGTTAGCCTTAAAGGTTCTACAATATTGTTTAAGAAAATAATTCATTTCTGGCTTGGCACCAGCCACATACACCAAGGCTTGTGGGTTCCCGCCTCGGTTGGGCCAGCTAAAGAACAATGACAACTGCAACAACAACAACAAAAAATAGCTGTGGTGGGTGCCTGTCGTCCCAGCTACTTGGGAGGCTGAAGCAAGAGAATTGCTTAAGCCCTCAAGAGCGTGGCAGTAGCAGTGGCTGTGGCTCAAGGAGTAGGGCACTGGCCTCATATACCAGAGGTGGTTGGTTCAAACCCAGCCCTGGCCAAAAACTGCAAAAAAAAAAAAAAAAAAAAAAAATCCCCAAGAACTTGAAGTTGCTGTGATCTGTGATGCTATGGCACTCTACCAGAGGTGACATAGTGAGACTCTGTCTCAAAAAATAAATAAATAAATTCATTTTCATCCCTCTAAGGCAGTTTAGTTTCACAGTTATTTATCATGTCTGCTATGCCATTTCTGTGTGACACACCACAGTAGAAAAGCCATCCTTTGAGGGGCATGAGGTCCATTCAGACTCAGCCCAGTGCAGGAAGGGGGTGGTCCATTCTGGGGTAGGGTGGGGGGGGTGCCAGCGTGGACTTGAGGCTGGGGAAAGGGCACCTGAGGGGAGCTGGGGACAGTAAGAAAAATGACATGCTCAAAGCCATACTTCAGAGAGATCTGCTGTAGTAATTTTTGTTATTATAGTATTTTTTGAAATAAGGAAAAGAAAGTTTGATAGGCTAGGCGCGATGGCTCATGCCTGTAATCCTAGCACTCTGCGAGGCTGAGGTGGTAGATTGCACTTAGAACAGAACCAGCCTCCTAACAGATGCTGTATTCCTGTTTAATAATTTAAAAATAAGATAAGTGCTAAGTGTAATAATCCTAGCAACTCAGGAGGCTGAGGTAGGAGGGTTACTTGAGTCCAGGAGTTCTTTCTATGTTGACCAGCCTGGGCAACATAGAAAGACCCTCTTTCTCTTAAAAAAGAAAAAAAAAAAACAAGAGGCAGAAAAGATAGAGAAGGGACAGTTTGAGATAGGACTGACAGGACTTGGGGAGAGGCTGGACATGGAATAAAGGGAGAAGGGGCATTAGAAGGGATGGAGGTTTGCCCACTGATTTCGTGGGAGAATGGTGCCATTATGAAAGGGAGGAAGAATTGATATACTCAGGTGGGATGAGGCTGAGTTTGAGGGTCCTGTAGGATGTCCAGCTACAGGCTCCTGGTGTCCCAGAGAGAAGTCCCAGGTAGGGCCATTTCCAGGTACAGTCCCAGGAGGCACCATGCACTGTGTTCTGGGAAAGGACCATGCCCTTTCCTGCCCAGGACTCCAGCCCTGACCCATGGAGTTGAGCAATTGGTTCCCCCAGATTGGGCTGGCTGCAGGGGTTGGGACTTCTTGGCTCAAAGAGTGAGGCCAGGGA